CACCTGTTTCTATTTTTTTACTTTTACTCTGGTTTTAAATAATACGGGCCTATCTCTTGACTTGCCAGTAATTATTACTAGATCCAGAAATTATGTATAAAAAATATAGTGTCTCTAGATGATTTTCCTTCCACTCTTTTCTCTGAAGGGCAGATAGAAGGGGACTGATCACCTTAACTTGCTCAGGAACTAGATGGTTTGAGGCTGCACTGCAATTTTGATAAGCATCAGTCTACCTGTTTCATCTTGTTCCTAGTAAGGAGTCCTGAGCTTTTTATCTGTTTACCGGTTCCCTCTGGCTGGCGGGTCCTGAATTCTAATTATCAGCACTGAAAATCTGCCAAAAATTCTGTTCTGCTCTTCAGAGCTTTGAGGTTTAGCTTTTGATAACCTCTGGCCCTAAGATTTGGTAAATATCTTGAGGAGGTAATTGTTTTGTGTTTAAGCCTCCTCCAGCCTTCAGTTTTGTTTCTCCAGTGTTGTCAGACAACCTGGCTCAGCTTGTTTCCTGGCTATAACCCTCCACCTGGGCAACGCCTGGATTCTTAGCTTCTTGCTCAAACCCAGAATCAGCAAATGCCCCCAGGGAAAAATCTGCTGCAGACTGTCAGCTCACTTCTCTATGAATCTCCCTACTTTAGAATTTTAGGTCCCCCGATCGTCTTTCCTTCAGTAATTCTCTGAGGCCCTTTAGAAAGATGATTTTTGCATTTTATCTGTTTTTTCTACTTACTAACTGGAGCACTGGTCAGCCAGGAGCAACTCTAAAACTCCTACTAAAAGTCTCTAAGCATTTGTGAAATGCTTTTTCTTTTTGCTGACTGTCCCCAGGGAGTTAATTTAACATCTCATCTTAAATACACATTCCTTGGGGCACCTGAGTGCCTCAGTCGTTAAGCATCTGCCTCCGGCTCAGGTCATGATCCCCAGGTCCTGGGATCGAGCCCTGCATCGGGCTCCCTGCTCGGCGGGAGGCCTGCTTCTCCCCCTCCCACTCCCCCTGCTTGTGTTCCCTCTCTTGCTGTCTCTCTCTCTCTCTGTCAAATAAATAAATAAAATCTTTAAAAAGAAAAATAAATAAATAAATACACATTCCTACTGCTAAGTGGGGGAAAAAGCAAACTGTCTTATGGCATATTCCCCATAATCACAGCTGCATATCAAATATATACACATATTGTCAAAGGTTTGACATAAATGACTGGGAGAGGATTATGGCAAACTGTATGTCTGTTTTTGGTAAAAGTGTTTCTGAAATGTTATATTATCTGTAAGTAGTACACAGGTAAATGTAGATTGTCAGGGAGGGGACAGAGAAGGAACTCAGTGGCTGAGATACAGCAGGAGGAAAATTAATCACATAAACCTTTAATAACCTGAATTTTGTATAACATGAATATATTAACTATTAAAGAAAGTAAACACACACACACATCCCAGAACTCACAGGGCCCCAAAGTGCCACAAATATTTTAAGGAAACAGGCATTTGGTTGTACTCACTAGCTGCAAACACTATAGAGAATGATCTAGGCCAGATTCGTTCTGGGGCAAAAAAAACTGCATTGTTGTGAGCAAAGGGGAATATAATATTCCTATACAAGCTTTTGTGAAAAGTTCAAAATTGGGCTATTTTTTTTTTTAATAGATGAGGGTATAGTAAGTATAGATGATGGTTGCTTTGTTAGGTCTTTTTAGATCACTTGTTCCAATTATAGGATATGGGGCCTGACACGGTTTAACACTGTACCTTTTCTTTTTTAATAACTGTTAAAATCTTGACAGCACAGCTGATTAACTGTCTATATAGTCTTTCTTTCTCCAGAACTTTATTCTAGCCGTCTAAACCAGGGCTCAGTATACTATGGCCTGGGGCAAATCTAGCCTATTTTGCACAGCTCTTTAGCTAAGAATAGCTTTACATTTTTACATAGTTGAAAAAAGTCTAGGGCGCCTGGGTGGCTCAGTTGGTTAAGCAACTGCCTGCGGCTCAGGTCATGATCCTGGAGTCCTGGGATCGAGTCCTGCATCAGGCTCCCTGCTCAGCGGGGAGTCTGCTTCTCCCTCTGACCCTCTTCCCTCTCGTGCTATCTCTCATTCTCTCTCTCTCAAATAAATGAAATCTTTAAAAAAAAAAAGTCTAAAGAAAAATATTTTGTGACACACGAATATGATATGAAATTCAAATTTGTGTCCTTAAATAGTTTTATTAGAACACAGCTGCATCCATTCGTTGACGTATCACCTCTGGCTGCTTTCACACTATGATGCCGAAGTGGACTACAGGCACGCCTGAGATACGGCAGGTTTGGTTCCAGAATACCACAGTAAAGAAATTACCACAATAAAGCGAGTCAAATGAATTTTCTGGTTTCCTAGTGTACATAAAAGTCGTGTTTACACCATACTATAGTCCACTAAGAGTTCACTAGCTTTATGTCGAAAAAAAACCCTACATATATACCTATATTCATACCTAATTAAAAATAATTGCTGGGGCACCTGGGTGGCTCAGTTGGCTGAGTGCCTGACTCTTGGTTTCGGCTCAGGTCATGATCTCAGGGTGGTGGGATCCAGTCCTGTGTTGTTCAGGCTCCACACTCAGCGGCGAGTTGACTTGAGATTCTCTCTCTCCCTCTTCCTCTGCCCATTCCCCCTCCTTTCTCTCTAAAAAAAAGAAATCCTTAAAAAAATAAAATTAAAAATAAAAAATAATTGCTAAAAAATGCTAACCATCATCTGAGCTTTCAGTGAGTTGTAACTTTTTTTTTAAGATTTTATTTATTTGTCAGAAAGAAAGAGAGAGAGAGCATAAGCAGGGGGAGTGGCAGGCAGAGGGAGAAGCAGGCTCCCCACTGAGCAAGGAGCCCGATGTGGGGCTTGATCCCAGGACCCCAGCATCATGGCCCAAGCTGAAGGCAGTCACTCAACCAACTAAGCTCCCCAAGTGTCCCCAGTCATAATCTTTTTGCCGCAGCTGCTGCATTGTGCACTTGTATGTTATGGAGATGGCTTCTTTCCTTAAACCTCATGAACCAGCCTCCACTAGTTTCAGACTTTTCTTGGGCAGCTTGCTCACCCCTCTCAGCCTTCACAGAACTGAAGAGTTTGGGCCTGGCTATGGGTTAGGCTTGGGCTTATAGGAACGTTGAGGCTGATTTGATCTTCTATTCAAACTTTCTCCATATCAGCAACAAGGCTGCTTTGCTTTGTTTGTGTGAATGCCAGAGCAGCGCTTCTAATTTTTTTCCTTTGCATTCACAACTTGACTGTTTGGCCCAAGAGGCCTAGCTTTTAGCCCATCTTGGCTTTTGACGTGTGTTCCTCAGTAAGCTTAGTCATTCCAGCTTTGGATTTTAAGTGAGAGACATGCAACTCTTCCTTTCACTTGAACATTCAGAGACCATGGTAGGGTTATTCACTGGCCTAAGTTCAATACTGTTGTGTCTCAGGGAATAGGGAGGCCAGAGGAGAGGGAGAGAGACGGGGAACAGCCAGTCAGTGGAATCACAACATGCCGAACATCTATGGCCTAAACTTGCTAACCAACATGGGTGCGCTTCATTGTGCCCCCAATAATTACAACAGCAACATCAAGGATTGCTGATCACAGAGCACCATAACACATATAATCAAAATGAGAAAGTCTGAAATGTTGCGGGAATTACCAAAATGTGACATACAGACATGAAGCGAGCAAAGGCTGTTGAAAAAAGTGGTGCCAACAGACTCGCTTAACATGAGTTTGCCACAAACCTTCTATCTGTAAGAAACACGGTATCTGTGAAGCACCATAAAGCAAGGTATGCTTATGGTCGCAACAAAGACCATATGGCCTTCAAAATCTAAGACATTTACTATCTGGAGCTTCATAGAAAAAGTTTGCCCACCCCTGTGCTAAAATGCCTCTGAATGATGAATTTTACAGAGCAACCCTCTGACGTGGTTAGACTGAATTAATGGCCCTCCCTCTATCTGTGCCTTTTACCAGTACACTTTGCAGTGCTTTCCCACCTGGGCTCTGGGCTCAGTCATATGACTTGCTTTGACCAATGGGAGTCCAAGAGAACACAATACAAGCAAAGGCTTGAAGTTAAGATTGCACAATGGAGCTCATTCTTCTCCTCTACCACTGTCATGTGAACAGACCCAGGCTAGTCCTCTGGACGATGACTCATGAGAACCAGGACAGCCCAGTCAATCCAGCTGAGACCAGCCTAGGTTAGCCAAAAGCCCCAAATCCCAAGATCATCACAGCTGCCTGGCTGACCCACAGATGACCACAGACACATGAGCAAGCCCAGCAGAAATCACCTGAACCGGCCCAATCAGTTGAACCCCAAGGCTCAAGAGCCATGTAACTATTTATTGGTACCTGCCACTGAAGTTTGGTGGTGGTCTGTTACACATTATTCTAGCAAAAGAAAGCTGATACCATGGGCATATGAATTTTAAAAAATTTCTTTTGCCAAAACAGGCTAAGGAACATTTTTATTCTTCTGAGGGCAGTTAAGGGATCTGTGCTGAATAAAGCATAGAAGTCCAGGGGCGTATGGGTGGCTCAGTTGGTTAAGCGTCCAACTCTTGGCTTCGGCTCAGGTCATGATCTCAGGGTCATGAGATCAAGGCCCATGTCGGGCTCCCTGCTCAGCGTGGAGTTTGCTTCTCCTCCCTCTTCTCCTCCCCCGTCCACCTGACCCCAGGTGCACATGCATACATGCACACACGTTCTCTCTCTCTCTCAGCTAAAATAAATAAATAAATAAAACCCGGAAAAAAAAAAAAAAGCACAGAAGTCTGGAACTCCAAGGGTTGGGGTGGGGCATCAGATTGCACCTTGAATTTCTACAAAAATAGCTTGTACTCATAACGGCACTCAATAAATATCTTTATTTGTTCTGTGGTTCAAGCTGCCCACTGGGTCAAGTAAATGCTAAGGCCAGGACTTGACATGCCTCTCATCTGGGAAGAGATCTAGCTACACAAACAGACTCTACCATGTACGGAAAAAGAATTCAATTTATTTCCTATTTATAAAATGTAAAAAAAGCCACCTTAGGTATAAAATCTAAATGTCTACAGTGTGATCACTCAGGAGCTCAGAAATGTCACTCTTTGCATCCATTAATTATGTTTGCTGCAAAGAAAGCAGGTGCCAGGAGCCCCTCCTGTACCAGGCTAAGTGACAGCCTCCCAAGGATCAAGCCTCACAGCCTTGTGTGAGAAGAGGAGCAGAGAGCAGGAAAGGAAAAGGGGCAGAACCGAGGTGGAGGCCAGGGAGAGTTATGTACTGAAGCCTGTATTGGGAAACACTTTGATTTGCAAGACGGAAGATCTTCCTTCTTGACGGCTGAACACAAGTGGCCTGAGACTGTCCTAGTAAAGTCAAGGTGCTTCCTGTGCATAGGGCTGACGCCCACCCCACAGAGCCACAAACGTAGCCTCTGTCAGGAAGGAAAGGCATCCATCCATCAGTGTGACAAGAAGCGGTCACCTTTGGACTTGGGTGAACTCGCTGCGCAGCCATAACGAGTCCTGGTAGAAGCGAGGATCGCCCAGTCTCACAGCTGTCCGCTTGTAGAAGTAGCAGTAAAACACCGCCGCTGTGGGCAGTACGCAGGAAAGAAGCGTCAGTGATGCTCCCGAATATCCGTTTCAGGCTAAGAACACAACCTAACGGGGCGCCTGGGGGGCTCAGTCGTTAAGCGTCTGCCTTCGGCTCAGGTCATGGTCCCAGGGTCCTGGGATCCAGCCCCGCATTGGGCTCCCTGCTCTGCGGGAAGCCTGCTTCTCCCTCTCCCACTCCCCCTGCTTGTGCTCTCTCTCTGTGTCTCTGTCAAATAAATAAATAAAAAATCTTAAAAAAAAAAAAAAAAGAACACAACCTAACAAGGCGGAGGGGCCCTGCCCCATGATTTCCCAGTGACTCCCTTGCAAGGGCAGCTGGCCATCATCCCTCCTGTTCTTGTCATGGCTGTTCTACTCGTCCCACACTGGCGGTGATGGACTGTGAAAGCCAGGATCGCGGCCCTTAGTTGCCTGAGCCATGGGTGCCACTGAAGGGAGGCCTGAGGTTGCTCTGGTCCTTACCTAGTCTCTGGAATACAAACAGCGTTTGAAGTCCATCTGTCCAGACAAAGCGGTTGGAGTTTTGCCAGCGTAAGTTCTGAAGGAGACATGAGTAGACAGGGAAAGGTTAGTGACCAGATGAGGCCCTAGAATCTCCAGCTTGGTTAGCTGCAGAAATGCCGCTTGGTTTCAAATCAGGCTAATCTCACCCTCCTTCTTTCTTCCCACAACCCCAAGGAGTGTTTTTCAAAGGAGCTTCAAACTCCCTTTTCTGTGCAAAGGAAATATCCTTTTAACACTGAAGGAGAGAGTTTGAACTAAGCTATTTATTCCCTTTCATTCCATAGCCTTTTCCAAGGAGAAGTGATATACATTATCTCAGTTCAGTGTGGTCACTGTCTTTCCTTGAAGATCTCAAGCTCAGTTCCTGTCAGATAAAGGCTTAGTGCACTCAGGGTTTAATCAGATTAACAGCTTTATAGTACAAAGTACAAAGCCAGAACCTATTCTGGCCCCAAGAACCAGAGCAGAGACAATCCTCTTCAGGAAGCGCTTAGAGACTCTGGCACTGCTATTTCTTTCCCGTGAGCTCTACTTCTCTCTGGAATAACAAGGGCGACTGAACACAAGGTTCAGTCTAAGAAGGTGGCTTTAGTAGAGAAGTGACAAGAGAACCCTGAGGTTTTAAAGCGTTCCATCAAAATGAGTATGAGAAACACAGGCAATACCCAAAGAGATGGAACAATTCGTGAAGCAGGAGAATCTGAACCATGAAAACTGGGATCTGCTGTGAGGCCGTGTCAGCACCTTGGAGATGAGTCCTTCTGGTGTGATGGGCACAGAGCAGAGGGCATGAAGCACTAAAGGGCAAGTGACACTCTTGGCCTGGCCATTTCCCATGGGACACCAATGGCTAAGAATACCTTGTCCCAACACCCACCTGCCCAAACAGCTAATGATGAAACACAGTCACCTTCCTGTTTTACCAGGACTGTTTTGGGGCAAAGGTGAACAGAATATTCCAGAAGTGTCCCCTGACTCTTGGATAAGGCAGTTCTTTAACACAAAAGGTTGGGCAGAAGTGCCTTATGCAACTTGCCCAAGCCCAGGCAGCACCACATTCATTCACCACAAACACACCTGTTTCCTGTCAAGGTTTCTGTGAGATGTAAAAAATTGAGGCTGGATTCCTAGAAAAAAGATACTTCTAGCCCCTTAAGGATTCAGGAACTCAGAGCTCTGCTCTTACCATGACCCAGACATGAAGGGAGATGCTGAGGGCGAAGTATACAGCTGTGAGGATGATGGTCCCTTTGAACTTGTGGAAGAGGAGGTTGACCAAGCCAGCCTGGAAGACGAAGGTGTTGAAGAACATGAGGAAAATGATGATGATGTTGAAGAGGATTGCGATATCCTGGATGCTGCAGACATCAAACAAAATACAGCCAAATGGAGGTCTGTGGGACGACTCAAGAGCTGGCCCTAAGTCCTAAGGGACACCATGAAGTCTGGCCTTCCCTGTGCTCTAGGCCCCTGAAACCACACCCCCCCCCAATAGTGGCATGGGCTTTGGGTCCCGAATGACATGAGTCTCGAACTCCCTGCTGGCCCCATCAGTGAGGTGCAGCCCACAGACAAAGCTTTCCTGCTCTGGTGCTCTTAACCTTCTAGACACTTGGGAGGAGAAGCTGCTTTCTTCCCTATATCCAGAAAAAGTCAGCCCCGCCTGTCACATAACCTGGGCCTGCCAGACATTTCCGCCTACACAGATGGCAACACCTTTCCCTTGACCTTTGCATGGCTGGTGTCTTAGGGCCATTCAAGTCTCAGTTCCAATGTCTCCTCTTCTGAAACCCTCCTTTAACCCCACTGCCTCAAGGAGCCCTCCCCTCTCCGCCCCACTCGCTTTCCATCCACTGTACATTTGTTACTATTCAAAATTATCTTTAAAAAAATGTATTCATTGTCTTTTTCCATTTGAGTGGAAATCCTGTGAGAGCAGGAAATTGTCAGCTTTACTACTGTACCTAGAACACTGTCTGGCAGGCCAATGAACGCTTGTTGAATGAACGAAGACAGTGTCGAAGACTGATTTTCTGTTAATAACTTGCCTCGTGGAGTCTATAAATCATTGTGGAAGAAAAATGCCACAGCTTCATCCCATATACATAACAGATTTGACTGCCCTTTGAGCTCACCGTTCTGTAATCCTCTTTCATAGCAATGTAAGATAATACTTCTACTCACAGACTGAGAAAATAACCCTCTGACTGCTCCCTGGATCCCAGACCTTTATTAGAAGCATATAAATACAGGATCTGTGATGTGTCTGTGGAGTACCCAAGATACATGAAATTTTATTTTCCCTAAGATTTCTCTATTAGTAACTTTAAAATGCTAAATCACAATTGTCAGGGCTTTCAAACTGCTTGGGTTCAGCTGTCCAGTCCCACCCACTGAACTCACATGAAGAGCACCAGCTGGACGACAGGAGCCATCCGGAGTAGCTCCGAGAAGGAATTGACAAAGAGGTCATAGGACAGCAGCAGGAACTGCAGGGAGAGCACCAGGCTATAGTTACTGGTCTGGAGCATCTTCCTTCTGCTTTATTGGGTCCCCAGGGGCACACTCCACAGTTCCCCAGAAGACAGCTCCAGGCTTTCTCCCCAGCACTGAGGGAGAAGCACTAGTTCCTCAAATCAGAGCTGTTTTCCTTGCTCTGAGACAAGGGCCTGTTGAGGCAAAAAGGAAAAAAAAGAGAGAGAGAGAGAGAGGGGTGGTTAAAAATTCATTAATAGAGTAAATATTTACTGAGGACCTACTACATGCCAGGGCCCATTCTAGCTGCTTGGGATATATCAATGACCAAAACCACTACCACCTCCCAAAAAACCCAACTAGTCATTCCTAGGGACCTTCACCCTCAAGCTTTTTGCATGCCTGGAAACTTCTAAATGCAGAGCTCTTTCTTTTTTCTTTAAGTTTTAATTTATTCATTTTAAGTAGTCTCTACACCCAACGTGGGGCTCGAACTCATGACCCTGAGACCAAGAGTCACAGGCTCCTCCAACTGAGCCAGCCAGGCGCCCCAACGCAGAGCTCTTTCCACTTTTGAGTTCAAAGGAATCTAGGAGCACTACAAAGAGTGACTGTCTGGTCATGCAGTTAATACTAATTCTAATACTAATTGCAGCAGCAAACCTTTATATAATCACTTACAGTATGCTAGGGACTATTCTTTTTTTTTTTTTTTTTTAAGTAATCTGTACACCCAACATGGGGCTCAAACTCATGACACTGATCCCCAATATAAAGTCACATGTTCCACGGACTGAGCCAGCCAGGCACCCCTGCCAGGGACTATTCTAAGCACTAAAATTCTGTAACTCTCAAAATAACCCCATGAAGTAGAAGACACACTATTATTACTCTACCCATTACACAGATAGGACAACTGAGGCTCGGAGAGGTAAAATAATTTGTCCTAGGTCACACTGCTAGTAGCAGTGGCAGAGCTGGGATTGGGATTCAGGCAGCTTGGGTCCAGAGTCTGTGCTTTTAACCAATGCCCAAAGCTGCCTCTCATGTAACAGACAGGCTGATATGTACTAGGCGGGAAAGACGTTGGGGCAGAAGTGGGAAGTGGTGCAGGCAGGGCAGAGGAAATAGTGCTCTCCTGCAAAACTCTATGTTTAAGGGGGTGGCAACACAGTGGCACCAGGTAAGGGGGGCTGGGTCTTTACTTTCACATAATCCAAGGCCCAGAAATTGCTCTGCAGGTGTCCTGTGACCCCTCCAGTTGGGTCAAATCTATAAACAAATTTCAAAATGCTCTGAGGTGTAAGAGGATGAGATTAAATTAACGTCTGCAAAATGTTTTCCAGTTTACAAGCTCTTTTTATATTCATCAGGTTACTTAATCCTACACCCATCTTGAGAAGCAGCCGTTAGTATGAATTTAATCCCCATATCACACAGAGGCTCTGAGAGGTTAAGGAACCGCATCCACCTCACCTGGTGGAGAAGTCCCACCTTAGTGGCTGCATGATGGCACTTTCTCTGAGCGGACAGCTATCACCTACTACCAGCACCACGATACACTTGGCGACCAGGACAATTTCCTTTAATCCTCGCAACTACTCTGCAAGGTGGGAAAGAAGGAGCCCCCCACCCCGCCCCGTTATACAGGCAAGAACACAGGGTCAGAGTTCAAGTCGTGCCTCCAGGTCGCAGGGGAGCAGAGCCAGGCTTCACAGCGGGGGGATGACACCAAAGCCCCGCGCTCCAAGCCACGACTTCACGGGCCACCGCGGCGGGCTGTCGTGAGGATCCGTGACAGAGAACCGCCCGCCGCCAACTCTACGGGAAGGAGGCCCATCGCCTCCGCTTTAAGGAGGCAGAGATTCGAGAGGTAACGAAGCCGTCTTCGGTCTGTCCACGCTCCCTGCCGCGTTCCCTTTGTCCCCAGAGCAGCTTTCCTCCCAATCCTTCCCAATCCACCTCAAAATGCGGCTGCCTTGGCAAAAAAAAAAAAAAAACCCAAAAAACAAAAAAAACACCCAAAACAGTAAAAACAAAAATTCCGATTCTGGTCACCTCACCCACTCCTCAAGCACTCTCACCTCAAAGCCCCAACGTCGGTTGTCATGGGGACGCCGTCCTGGCTTCCGGAAACCGGTTTTAAATCCCGGAAGTAGGGGCGCCTGGGTGGCTCAGTCCTTAAGCGTCTGCCTTCGGCTCAGGTCATGATCCCAGCGTCATGGGATCGAGCCCCGCATCGGGCTCCCTGCTCAGTGGGAAGCCTGCTTCTCCGTCTCCCACTCCCACTGCTTGTGTTCCTGCTCTCGCTATCTCTCTCTGTGAAATAAATAAATAAAATCTTTAAAAAAAAAATAAATAAATCCCGGCAGTAGATGGCGGACGCGGGCTCCGTCTGTACCGTGTTACCCGCCGGTCCTCGGTTTTCGCTCCGCGCTCTGTGGCCAGCCCGGCTGCCATATTTGGCCGCGGCTTTCCGGGGCCCGCTCCTCTCCTGCCCTCCCGGCGACGCCGCGTCCAGCTCCTGACCTTCCCAGACGCTGCCCGCGGCCTTGCTGAGGGCCAGTCCCCGGCGAGAGGCTTCGCGTCCGCCCAAACACGAGTTGGGGGTGAGGGACCGGGCCGAACTGTTGGTGGCGCTCCCTGGGGGAAGAAACGCCCGCGAAGGAACTGGAGTTGGGAGTCTGCAACCTCGGACTTCATTTCCCAGGTGGCCGCGCGCGCGCCCGGAAATGCTGGGAGCCTATAAGAGAGGGAGGCGGCGCGGTTCACCGCACTGGGGCTGCGGTGCGGTCTGCATGGTCGTGTCCGTCTGGGAGAGTCCGGGATTCCATCCGCCTGGAGTCCTGGTAGCTACCGCGCCGGGTGGCGAGAGGCGGGTCTCGGAGACCCCTGCGACCCACTGTGGTTCGGGGGTGAGAAAGAGCTCGGATGGGGAGTTCAGGGATCTGGGTTCGAGTGCTGGCCCCGCTACTACCTCTCCGCGCTGTCGCTACCCTTCACTCGGCCTCAGCTTTCTCCTGTAGGAAATGGACACCGTTGTCCGCGCCCTTCCTTCTACAGGTGTGGTGTGGTTGTACAGGCACGAAAGCGCTTCGGAAGTCGCAGTCAGCAGGCGGAGCCCCTCGCCCTAATTGTCACCGAAGGTTAGCTAGGACCAACAGCCCTTGGTCCCCGCAGAAAAGTCGGGGATCGGGCTCCGGGTTCCTGGAACGGTTCTCCGGACACCGGAGCCAGACCGGGGCCGTCTGGAAGGGCGGGTCTGTAATCACTGTGGCGCTAAGGAGCGCCTTGCCTAGCTACCTTCCGACTGAAACTTAGGGGCCCTCACTCCTGATCCCTGACTTTACAGAAGCCGCGTTTGGACGTGAGGAGTCCTTGGAGCTGAGGGAAGCGAACCCGGGTTCCTGTACCAGCTCTGCCACTCATCGTGGCCAAGTCGCTTTTCTTCTTTGGGTTCCAGTGATTTTGATCCGTAAGAGAAGAGTGTAGCACTTGAACCCGAAGTCTGATTCTCAGGATTTCCAAAACCCCCACCATTCATCCTGGAAGCGGGGGCAACAAATTGACTTTCTGTTCCTTCATCTATTTGTAGTTCTAAATTATAAAAGTAATATTGTAAGAGTTTGGAATAGAGCCTTTTCCTAAGATCAAGGGCTGAATGGAAGCTTACCCTTTTCTTACACCGAGGCCTGATCTCTTTTACAGCAGCCAGGGAGAATCGTTTTTTGTCAAGGGACTGAGGGGAGTATTAGGTTGGAGAGTACATTTCTTAGATCATGGTCGATAGAGTAAGACACACCGCCTGCATGGTTTTTGCATTTTTAAAAGATTAACACAAATGAAAAGGATAATATTTTCTGATTTGTACAAATGACCTGAACCTGAAGTTTCAGTGCCCCTAAATAAAGTTTTTTGGGAACATGGCTGTGTTCGTTTGTGAAGGTACTGTTTATGACTGCTTTTGCACTACATCAGAAGAGTTGATGACAGAGTTGGGAGAGAGACTCTGGCCTGCAAAGCCTAAAATATTTTCCATTCGGCCCTTATAGAAGGGCATGCTGACTTCTGCCTTAGCATGGGGCTCTACAAAGTGCAGACAGAATCAGAGACCAAACAATGGTGAGCACATCCTGAAATCATAGCACAACCTACTTTGTTGGAATAAATGATAGAATATTCTCAGTGTTAGGGTTGCAATTTTACTGCATTCTTCTTTTTTCTTCTGCACTTTCGCGTAGAGGTAGGGTCATCTGCGTACTGTGAGCAGTATAACATCATAGCCCATTGTCAGAAAAGTGTCCCGATTGTGAACTCTAAGTCTGTCCCAGAGCAGTAATCCAGGACCTCTTCGAGAAGGGTGGACACAGCCCTTTTGGATGATATTTACTTTTGTTTTTTCTTCTCCAAAGGAAAAGGAAGTCATGAAAGATAATTGTTTGGTGGATGGAGCCTGCTGACCAAGTGCTTCATGCCGACTTCACCAGGGGGTGACTGAACATCTGGTGACCTGAAACTTTCTCTGCTCTTACGGGGCCTAAGGGGACACCTCTGAGGCTGGGTGGCAAATCTCTGAGCTTAGTAGTTGAGTCATGAAACTTCTAGGAAGATGGTGGCATTATTTTCCCTTGGCCTTATGGAAGCTTGTTTTTCCCCCCAGCCCCTCGGATCTTCCTTTCTCAGTGACTACTGCCAACTCGGGTCACATTGTGAAAGTTCAGTGTCTGTTTCTGGTTAGGTGGACGCCTGCTGTGGAAAGAGTTGGCATAGCCTAGTATCAGGGCCACCGACAGGCCTGGGCTGCCATGAAGGCCACGAGCTTCAGGCTGTAGTTTGTAGGTAGGATGAACTGCTGTGACAATACCAAGAAAAGGAGAATACTTTGCTCTCACAATGTCCTTATGGACATTTTCTTACTTGCCCTTTCGACAACCTGTGGTCAAGGAAAAAACAGGAGCCTTGAAGCCAAACAGACAAGGCTTTGAAACTTCCTGAAACTTACTGGGTCCTAATGCTGGTATTTAATCTTCCTGAGCCTTGGTTTCCTCGTCTATAAGATGGGGATGATAACTGCTCATGGGAGCAAATGGGATCATAATGTTCATGGGTTCTAGTGGGGTGTCTGCTCCTAGCTGCTCTTCAGTATATTCTTATTACCATGACTTTCTTTCAGGTGAGACGACTGAGTCCTGCAAATGCTAAGTGATTTGCTCAAGGTGCCCCACTTCATAAGAATTGGAGCCTCGGCCACCACTCTGTCAGCTTGTCACTAAGTCTAAAGGTGAGGAATCAAGTGTTTCATCACCATGGGAGTTCTCGGCTGTTTTAGGGACTTCCTTTTCTGTTAGCTGGTTCAGATTGAGGGACCTCAACTGCAGGATGCCATAGCGTCGCCTCCTTGGCGTGAGTCTGTGGGACAGGGTGACAGCCTTGAGAGTTAGGCCCGTGCTGCCTACACGCCCCCTGAAAGCAGATGTGGTCCCGTGGCTTTGTGTGTGTGCCTGCCAGCCCGCACCCCAGCTGCCTGGTTTGTAAGAGCAGCTGTTCAGGGCCCTAGACATTTGTCTGAAATCAGAGTTGGTTTCTGAGTTTATCAAGGACATGGAGAAATCTCAAAATAAACTCTTGCTTTCTAGACCATGAGTTCTTGCTTCCTCTTTTCTCTTCTGAACTTTCCTCAGAGGAAGAGAAAGCAGAAGTCTCAGGCCCAGAGACATCTGAGGGCTGCTGTCCAATTCAAGGTGTGGAGTGTGGGGACCCCAGAGGGAAGGCCTGATCTTACTTCCTCAATGGGAGGATTAGCCTCACAGAGTTCACCATCTGGCGAAGAACTTACTTGTAGAAGTGGGAGATCATAGGACTTCCTCTCCGCTGGCCTAATAGTGTGTTGGCTCCTTGCAGATGATAATTTTGCCTCCTTCTGGTAGAACTGAGGGCCGAGGCATTTGTGTGATCTAGCCTGGATTTGGATTCCTGTCCCTTCTTTTTTGTGGGGTACGGTGGGGTGGATTCTTTACCTTTTGGTTCTATGAAGGGAGGCTAATCCCAGGGCTTTGGGCCGAGAGAGTTGATGTCCAGCCCTTCTCCAGAGCCGGCCCCAGCACTGTGTGCTGCCAGGTACTGGGGTGGGGCCATCCTTACTGTCCACAATCAGAGGTCAGGCCTACCCAGCACTCCAGGTCTCATGGGGCGGTGCCCAGGCTGGTGGCAGGAGAACTAAAGTGAAAAGTGTTCACCCTTCCAGCAAGAGCGAGCTCGGTGTTACTCCTTTAGCTGGTAGGTGAGGTGCACTCAAGCCTGCAGAGCCAGCAGGGACGTGTGACTTCTGCTTCTTCCAGGAGCATCTGCTCAGAATGGCCATGGGATGGTTCTACTTGTCCTTCTACTCACTGTGGTTCCTGGGCTTGATGTGTATCATCCTCACCATCTATTGGATGCATTTGTGGCATGGTGGCTTTGCCTGGGATGGCACCATTCTCATGTTCAACTATCACCCAGTGCTCATGGTTGTTGGCTTAGTGGTACTCTACAGTGCTGGTGAGTACGAGGTCATGGCAGACATTCCATGACCCACACCCGGCTGGGGCAGAGCTCTCCCTCCCCGGGGCTGGCCTTTGTCACTGTTGGGTTTGGGGCTCTGGGAGTGGGGTAGGTCGGGCTGCCTCTGGGCCCAGGTGTCATTTGCAGGAAGAAGTAGTGAGAATGGGGGCGTCTGAGGAGGGTAGCTTTACAGATTCTCTAGGGCAGGGATTGACAGACTTTGTCTGTAAAAGGCCAGATGGGAAAGGCTTTACAGGCCATATGACCTGAGTTGCAACTGTTCATCTCTGTTACTGTATTGTGAGTAGCCATAGATAACCCCAAAACATGTTCATGGCTATGTTCCAACAAAACTGCTTACAGAAACATGTGGCAGGCTGGATTTGGCCCGTGAGCTGTAGTTTGCCAACTTCTGCTTTAGGGAGCAGGAGATTGAAGCCTTTCATGCCCTGGCCAGGTCCTTCCACGAAGAAGCTGCTTACTCCCGCCAGATCCATCTTTGCCCCATGCATTCAGAGCTGGGCCTCGGAGCCCAGGGGAGCCTCATTTCCCTGCTTGTAAAATGGGAACGATGATAACGTCGATCGCAGTGGTGTGGGGCAGCATGAGGGGAGGAGGCCGGGCCCTGGGATGTTCTCTTCTGCAGCCTCGCTGGTGTACCGCCTGCCGCAGTCCTGGGTAGGGCCCAAGCTGCCATGGAAGATTGGCCACGCGGCCCTGCACCTGCTGGCCTTCATCCTGACCGTGCTGGGGCTGGTTGCCGTCTTTCAGTTCCACCGCCACTCCAAGGTCGCCAACCTCTACTCCCTGCACAGCTGGCTGGGCATCGTCACCGTCTTCCTTTTTGCCTGCCAGGTGTGTGCCCTCCCTCGGGTTCCTGCTGCCGGCTGGCGGCTGGGGGCTCTAGTTGGGGCTGCCCTTGCACCCGCACCGCGCACTCCCTCTGCTCACCGCCCGGAGACGGCCCCGCAGGGCACACCCCACGGCGTCGGCAGCTGAAATGGCCGGAGGAGACCGCCGGTTCCCACACTCACCTGCTCCTTCTCTTACTTGTCACGCTGCCCCTCTGTCGTCCTGGAGCACGCTCAGCTGCCCCGATCACAGCACACGCCACCCTGACGCTAGGTCATCTTTTCCACCTTCCCCATTCCCACCTTTCTTTGAACCAGAAGCAATTCTGAAAGTGGTTTCCGCATTCTGAGGTCAGCCCCGTACAAGTGAGGAGTTTTATGGGCCAGGACTGGAAGGAAGCAGAGACGTGTACGTCTCTGGATGGGTGGGCTTTTGGGAGACCGGGCTTGTAGCTAAGCATTTCATGGAACATTCTGGTTTGGCGAAGAAGGCGACCACAGTGCGGAAGCTAGGGGTGGCACCTGGTGGGAGGTGTGAGCTGGGAAAGAAGGGTGAGAGACCATTGCAGGGTAGGAGGTCCCGGTGGGGCGGGATGGCCCGCTGCACCTCTGGGCCCAGCACGGGGCCGTCAGGTTCTTCCTCCCTGTGTCCACAGTGGTTCCTGGGCTTTGCCGTCTTCCTGCTGCCCTGGGCGTCCATGTGGCTGCGCAGCCTCCTTAAACCCATCCACTTCTTCTTTGGCGTCATCATCCTCTCCCTGTCCATTGCGTCTGTCATTTCTGGCATCAATGAGAAGCTTTTCTTCAGTCTGTGAGTGGGATGGGGCCCCCAACTCTGACATGGAGGGGAAGGCATAGGGTCTTCAAAAGATGTACCCTGTGATCATAGGACTTAGCCAAGGGAGGGGAGCCTTTGGGGTTGGGATTGTTCCTGATCTGGAAGGTCCTGGAGTCTTTAGGTTGAGATCGGTAAATTGGTCAGCAAACGTGTATCTACCATCAAACTGACTTAGTACCTACTGTGCGTCAGAAACTCTTCTAAGCACTTAAATTTAATCCTTTAATCATTTTACAACATAGATACTGTTGTCATTGCCATTGCCATTTACAAAGAAGGGAACTGAGGCACAGAGAGGTTAAGTAACTTACTTAAGGGCACACAGCCAGTAAGCGGCAGAGCTGGGGTTTGGGTTAAGATTACAGCCTGCATGCCTAACCACTACCATCCCCCATTCTTTTAAGACAGGGGGTGGGTAGTGAAAGCAAATAAAGTAGGAGGTCAGACTGGGGTTTAAGTCTTGGCTATGCCGTTTACTAGCTACTAGTTTTCTGACGCTGGGCAAGCTCACCTGCCTCTCTGAACTTCAGTTCCCTCAGAGGTAGAAAGCAGTCTGCAGATATTTGCGTGGTGGTAGGGACTTAGTATGTTAATGTTCCAGGTCATAGATGGTCCTTGGAAGCTTTTCTCACCATCTGCTAATGGTGTTGGGCAAAAACAGGTGGAAAGTCTCTCAAGGGCCCGCACTGTTTTGTCATCTTCAGGAAAAATTCCACCCAGCTATATTCCAGTCTGCCCGGTGAGGCTATCTTTGCCAACAGCCTTGGGATGCTGGTGGTGCTCTTTGGGCTCCTGGTTTTTTACATCCTCCTGGTTTCATCTTGGAAACGCCCAGAGCCAGGGATCCTGACTGAAGGACAGGTATGGGGTCCTGGTCTCCCCTTCCAGGCAGGGGTAGGGCCAGGTTTCGAGAAGGGTCACCCAGGAAAGTCTTGGGCCTTGCCAGGAAGAACACTCAGTAGTGTGGTGGGAAACCAAATAGCTTGAAGGTGGGGTTAGGTTGGCTGATGGGGAGCACTGGTATCAAAGTAGCACATCCCAGGCATTGTGGCAAATGCAGCTGCTCAGGCTCAGGGGCTCCGGGGGCCTGTCTCTTGGGAGAGGACTGGTCTTTATGCCCCTCCCCAACTTCCTGTGGTTTCATGAGGGGAAAGTGTGGCCTTCTCTCCCTCAAGGAAGGGCTTGGGCATGGTGAAAGGGTGTTGTAATTTCTACTCTTCCAGCCTTGGGGCTAGTCTCGTGGGGCGGGAGCTTATCTAACGGGTGCTTGCCGAAGGGGTGAGTGCTTGGAGTAGGTTTTGCCTGTTCTTGGCCACTCAAGTGCCTGAAGGATGCGGTGAGATGGGGTATCTATCAGGCCAAGGGGCTCTGGGTCATCCCTGAAAGCCGTGGTGGCTTGGATGGGGACCGCTCTGCAGGTTGGCGGTCTATCTGAACAGCTCAGGCCCGGGGGGCTCCTGCATGTTAGGGGCTATTCTGATGTGAGGCTGTTAACTGCCGTGCCTCTGCCTGTCTTTCCAGCCCCTGTTGCCTGATGGGGAGTGAGCCAGGAGCAGGTGGAGGTGCTTCCCCTCAGTAGCTCTGCTCTGCCTGGGACTCCTGTCTGGTTACAGCAACACTTGCCCTGGGCTCCGGGCCCAGATGTCTTCTGGCCTCCATGCGGGGCCTGCTCCCTCCACCAGTGTGCTGCCCACCGCTTTGCTTGGTGGCTTCAGCTTCGTGCTCCTTCCTGGCCTCAACTTCTCGGTCTTCATTTACATATGGCCCCCCTGGCCCCACCACAGCTGCTCCTGCTGCCCCCGCTCTGCGTGTGAAGTCAAGCTGACTTCCCCTCTAGAGCCCTAAGGATGTGGTAGAAAATCTCGACAGCGCGGATGAGCTGGGACTCAAGTGCAGTCCGCATGTGAAAAGTGAGGGACGCGGCAGTGTCCAGCAGCTTTCCCTTAAAGGCCTGCATTTCCTTTGGGCCACCCCCACCATGGGGTCATCCGCCATTACCTCGAGCCAGCCCAGCTGCACGTGAGGCTGGGCACACACATCTCGAGGTGACGGAAGGAGAGCGGGGAGAATGGCAGCAGAGCGGTGGAGGGGCTGACTGCCCTTTGCCGTTCTGTTTCATGCCCGCCTGCATTGGGACTGTGTGGCTCCCCTCCGCTGCTACAGCCCTGGCCTACATCCTGGCCTTGCCCCATGACATGCAAACCCGTCACAGTCAGGCAACCCGACAAACCCTGGCAGCCTGCTCCCCCAACAACAGCCTGTCCCCCGGCTGTCCAGGAGGGCTGAGCGCCAGGGGGGCCTCAGGCTTCCTTTGCTGCCCCTCCCCGGATCAGGGCTTCTCTGCCTGTCCCCGGGCAGGCTGGCAGAGCCCCAGCCCAGCTGATTTTCACTCTCCAGCTCACCGTGAAACAAGCCAGAGTTGTGGTGCATCATGCCCAGCAGATCCCTGGGGCCACGGCCACTTTCTAAGGTGCTCCCTGCTGAGTGTCAGGCTGCCTCATTTCCCACTCAGGCGACTTGGGTGGCCAAATCCAGTCTCCTGTTCCACTAGAGGGTGAGCAGCTACTTGCCTCCCGAGGAGAAGCTGGGGTTGGGGTGCTGGGGTACTTGCTCCTCTCTTCCGTGATGGCGCTGTGGCTTTTCCCACCCTCTCCGAATGAGCACTGCCAGGCCCCAGGCTCCATACTGCCATCCTTAGGGACAAGCAGCAGGACACCGGGGGCTTGGGTGCACTTGCCCCGGCACGTGGAGACAAGGCTAACGGTCCACCCCACTCTCACGTGGCCCGCTGGCAGGCCTGTGACTGGACTTCCCGAGGGGATGGAGCATTTGAAGCCATTGGGATGACTGCCAGACACCTCAGTCAACATGACCAGCGCCCCCTCTTTCCATGTGGGAGGCCTGTAACCTGAAGCTTGATTTCCGTTTATCATGTGTTTAAGAATCAAATCCTTCTCTACTGTACTGACATCGTGGTTAAAAACTTATTAAAGCCTCTGGACAGTTCTGATCCTCAGCCCCGGGAGCAGAAATTCAAAAGGCACCAAAGATCCCGTGATTGTTCTCCTGGAATCGTAGGTGACTCGTGGTCTGTGTGGATGTCCTTAATAAGGAAAAGCTTCTGAGTACTGGGTTATCTCACAAGGAAGGAAATGTTTCCTGTTTTATAATCCAGAACTCAAAAAGGATAAGGGACTTGGTCACTGGTGACTGAGGTCCCTTGGCCAGGAAATGGTAGAATCGGGATCCACAGGCCAGATATTTATGTCAGTATCCTTCCCAGCTTCTGGGTATGTGCATCCTGTGCACACTGATAACCATACCTAGTGATCCGGGACCCGTGGCGCACACCCACAGGGGACAGGGGACCCTGGATAGAGAGGCCCAGGGATTGAGGGGGCCTGCAGCCAAGTTTGGGCAAAGTAAGTGACGGAGAGCCCCCTTCCCTTGGTGACCAGCTGTGGACACCTCCTGGCGGTGGAGCAGACGACCCAGAAGGAGTTGGGTACGGTGATGATAGTGACTCTCAGTGAATAAGCACCTGGCCTGTACTGGGGGCTTTACCTTCATCAGTTTATTTCAGCGCTCATCCATGTCCCCATGAGACGGGTTCAGTTCTGGTTTTACAGGTCCCAAGAGGCTAAATAGTAGACCTGAGTTTACGTAGTTGGTTGGAAGCAGAATCAGGATTTAGTCTAGTTTGAGTCCATGCCAGTGCCTTTAACTGCGCCCCTGCACCAAGGATGGGCCAGGCATGTGTCATGCGCCAGACTCCACAGCCCCTTCCTGCTTGCCCACCGTCAGTGTTGCTCTCGAGAGACCTGGGGTTTGGCTTGGATGCAGTTTCTGTTCAACCACTGAGCTTTAGAATGTGGTGATTTCTTCCAGTGTCCCATTTAATTCCCGAAGAATATGTGAATTCTGTTTTAAGTTTAGTGCGAAGAAAAACACACCTATCGGGTGTGGTTTGTGTACTGGAGAACAGGAATGGGGAAACAGCCCAGCGGCACAGACCCTGCCCTTGGGTCTTAGGTGGTAGGGGATGGGTCATGATCATTTTCAACCGGGGCTGAGGCTTTGTGCCTGGGGCATTAGTGGGCCCACTGGTTCACACACCTGCAAAAAGGTCCCTCAGCAGAAGCAGGAGCTCTTGCTTCAATGTGGTTTTTTATTCACTTCCTTTTCTACACTCACTCAACGTCAGAAGACCTTCCACAAAGGGCCTTAAAACTGAATTAGCATGGCCAGTTCAAGGCCATGTTGCCACCCAAGGAACATGCCTATCATGGAGGCCCGGAGGTGGCTAGGGGCAGGGTGGGGTGGCCCCTGAATTTCACCTCCCTGAAGAGGGGAAAGGCAGGGCCAAAGTGGTATACAACCCACTCAGCCTGCCGTTCCTGTAGGAATTCCGGAGGCTGGTAGAGGTTCCCTGCTGAACTGACAGGCCCTGGGGGCCAGCGGTGAGGGAGGGTAACAGCTGGAAGACAGGACGAAGCGACAGTGGTCATCTCTGCACAGCGGTGAGAGAGGCACCGAGGCCCAGGAGGCCCTCACACGCCCTGGCCCTGCAAGGCCTCCAGGATGGCACGGAGGATGGCTGCAGCTGCCACTGCCCCAGGGTCCGGCTGGTCCAGCCGCGCAGAGCTGATGTAACTGGCTCTTCCGGCTCCAGCTTCCATGTTCTTGGTGGCCTCGGCTGCAGCTTCTGCACTCTGAGTGGTGGGAGCGTGGGAGCAGGTTCAAGGACAAGCCAGCAGGCCTCCTTCCTCCCATGGACCCTACACCCTCCTGTCTCAGCCCTACCAGCACCCTAAGTACTGTCACCAGGGTGGAGAGATCACCTCTCGCCTACCTCTAGCAGGGCAAGAGGCTACCATCTACTGAGGGCTTGCTATGTCCTAGACGCCCTGAGGCTCCACATACCTCAAGCCTCACAGCAACCGTCTGAGACGGGTAATGCTCTCCATGCTTGGGGGAGGAAACAGGTACAGGAAAGATATTAACTTGCTCACTCACCTGGACTGCTTTGGTCAAAACTTGGAACAGATTGGCCCCTGGGCTTTTCCAGGCTTGGAGCTCCTGTCCTGCTGCCCACAGGGAATCCAGCTGGACAAGGTGAGGGAGAGGGGAGTAAGAACAGGCCCTGCCACTGAGGGTGGCCTTCAAGGCTTCTATACTACAAAGAGGGAAGGGCTGGGCTGAATACACACCATGGTCCTGTCCCCTGGAGCAGCCTTCCCGTACCTGGCAGGGAAAAAAGATGAGTAAGACTCCCTGCAGGGACTCACCGTGGGGGTGGGGACGGGGCCTGGCTGGGAGCAGGTGACACCATCCACTGCCCCCAGCCCCGCCTTGGTCTAAAGCATGGGGCTCTGCATGGCTCACTTCTGCATGGCCTCTAGGCCGGCATCCATGGCAGCACACCAGGCTGGCAGGTCAGTCTTGGCCTTGAGTGGCTGGGCCGCTGCAGTCAGGAACAGGCCGTAAAGCTGGGGAGGACCAGAACGCTGAGCACATGGGGCTGGCCGGGGCCTTGGCCAGTCCGAGACCCCTCTGGGTCAGCCCTTTGGTCCCAGGGGCTGCTGGCACTCACCGCCCCAGATGAGCCTCCCATTTTCTCCAGGAGCAAGAGGGAGAGTTTGGAGAGTAGCTGGGCAGGGCTGGCAGGGGGTGGGCCCTCCTTCAGCCACCCGTGGATGGCTGCAGGCAGAGAAAAATGAACTCAGAGACCCTCCCTCCTATCTTCTTGGGCCCCAACCAAGCAACCCAGGCCTCACTGGCAAGCAGAAGGCATGGCCCCTGGCAGAGGCTGAGGGAACCAACCTAGGAGATTCCCGAAGCTCCCTTTCTACATCCTGGATGCAGTCTGGGGAGAGGTGGGAAATGGGCACTGGCAGGACCCTTGGCCGTCACCCAGAAGCTGGGGCCTGCCCCAGACACCCTCGACCTGACCTTCCATGCCTCGCTTCCCAGCTTCATTTCTCCTCCTCAGCCCCGCGCACTGCCACCCTCTATCTTTTCCTGATAGTCCCTGCTGACAGTGTGCCTCCCCGACCCGAACATAAGCCACGAGCCGCGAGGGACTCTGATCTGCTTTGCTCACTGTTGTATTCAGAGCAGCAAGATCAGTGCCAGGCCCGGGGTAGCCCTGATTCTTGACGGGATTATGCTGGATAATTAAAAGCTTTTCATTAGTCTCTGTTAAGCTGAGAAAAACAAGGACAACTGTAGGAGTTTCCCTTGAACCTAAAGTTATTATTCACTGTAAAACATTACATTTTGAGGCACCTGGCTGGCTCAATAGAACACGTGACTTTTGATTTTGGGGTACATACATACATACATACCTATGTAAATACATATTTTAAAAAAAAAATTATATTTGGGGCACCTGTGCGGTGCAGTTGGTTGAGCGTCCGACTTGGTTTCAGATCAGGTCATGATCTCAGGGTCGTGGGATGGGGCTCTGTGCCGGGCTCCACACTCAGTGTGGAGTCTGCCTGGGTTTCTCTCTCTTCCTCTGCCCCTTCCCCCCAACTCTCCCTCTCTCAAAATACAAAAACATTAAAAAGATTACATTTTATTTTGTAATAACAACCCTTCTACATTTGTAGTGTTAGGAGAGCCTTTTCTTAGGAAAAAAAGGGGCAAGGGGTGCCAGGTTCTGTGAATGATCTCTCTTGGCAAAATAAATGTTGGCCATTCCACGTGAACACTCGCCATGCTTTTGAAGTTGTTCCAGTTCACGAAATGCCAAAATCTCAGAACCCACGTTCTACACCAGCCCTCTCCTGACCCCAGAGGGACCCTGCACCCACCTCTGGCAGCGCGGCTGTGGGTGGTGCCACAGTCCCCGTCACCGGCAGCGCGGTCCAGAGCATTCAGATGCTCCTCCAGGCCCAGAAGGGTGGTGCACACCCGTTCCAGCACGAGCATCACCCGCTTCGAAGTCAAACCTGGAGACGGAGGACAGTGGTGCGGAGGCCCACCCGGCCTTTCCACAACCCACCCTGACCAGTGTGGAAGGTGTGGGTACAAGAGCTCCCGCCTACCCCGTACCCTTCAGAGTACAGGGCAAAGCCCTGGGCCACCCTTCCCAACAGCAGGGCTTGGTACCTCCTGCAACAGTGGAAACAGGGGCCTCCAGAGGCTCAGCAGGGGCGGCCCGGCTCCGCTTCCGCCCAGTCACAGAGACCTTGGCCACGTTAGGCCAGGCTGACGCGGTGGTTTCAGCATCTAGGGACAGCAGGATGACTCGTAAACATGGGTCAGCCAGTCAGGGATCAAGTGGGACCTGGACTCCCCACCTGGCTCCCATCATATCAACAAGCAAATACCAAATGCCTACTGTATACAAGGGAAGCATGGAGGGTCCCTGGGGAAGATCCTAATACCAGCTCCTCAAGTGAGAGCTGAAGGCTGGAGTGTCTCTACAGAGGGTGTCTCTACAGAGGTGATGGTCAGCCCTGATAGGGTGTTGTCTCCAAGTCCCCTGTGGCTCCTTCTGGCCACAAGGAGGCCTGGCTTGGATGACCCCAGCTTCCAGGTCTCACCGATCAGTTTCAGGAGAGGCTCATCCACCAGCAGAAGAGTGAGAGAGATGCCGGGCATCTCCAGGGCTGACATGAAGGTGCCCACCAGGGCACGGGCGATCTTCACCCCGCGGCCCTCTGCAATACCAGAGCATGGAAGTCCATGAGGGAAGGAGTGGAGGATGGGCACTTACCCTCAGAGCATCAGAGAAAGAAACAGGAAGAGGAAAACAAGGACTTTGGAAGCTAGGACCCTGAGGTTAGTAGGGAGATGGCCAGATTCCCTCCCACCATCCCTCAAGGATGCCCCAAATTACCACATTCCCTGGAGGTGCCCCCTCTACAGGGAAGATGGGTAATTACAAGTCTCCTTTTCTGAGTTCTCACTGCTCACTGGGTGCCAGACCCTGTGCTAAGTGTGACACGTATGTTTAATCTCATGTAATCCTCACGACAACCCTAAAAGGCAGGAACTACTGGTGCCCCCTCTTCACAGACAAGGAGAGAGGCTCAAGGCACCCAGCAGTCAGCTGGTACAGTGACGGTTTGACTTGGGCCTGTCTGCCCCCACATCCCCTCCTCTGGGCCATCTCAAGACTCCATTGTGGCTGCTTTTCTTCTGTCCAGCTTCAAAGGGCTGCAGGGAAAGGAGTTCCAGGGCTTGGGGAAGTCCCCTTCTGGTGTGGGACTCACCCAGAGTGCGGACAGCAGCATCAGCTATGATGCCCAGTTCCAGGAATGACAAGCCACCAAGGTTGTTGACCATCAGCACCACTGAGGAGCCTGTGGACAGACACAACACCAATGTGAGACTCTCCAGGCCCCCTGCCCAGAGTAGGACAGAAGGCTGGGAGACAGCATGACAGCCCCTCACCGGACTGCACAGGCACCCGGGACACGTTGGAGGAGGCCGTCATGTGGTCCAGCATGAGCGTCACAATCTCGTTGGCGCTTGCCATCTGTCAGAGCGAGAGCCACCATGAGCTGTGCTGGAAGGCCTTGGTCTTAGACTAGCCGGGGCCAGGGAGTCCACTTACCTTTATCCGGCGCACGCCAGCTTCCCCGTGGATCCCTGTGGACAGACTCGGTCACTGCTGACCCACTCAGGGCCTGGGGACTCACTCATCATGTTTTTCTCAAGGATTTACGAAGTGCTCAGTACTAGCTAGGCGCTGTGGATGTGAGGAGTGTGGGGGATGATGGACAGAATAATGAAAAATACAGAGTCTCCACTCTCTGGGAGCTTATGGCTGGGTGGTGGAGACAACCAGAGCCTTAACCGCTTAACTTTTAACTAGTTAAGTAGCTTCAACTAGAGGCAATCACAGCCAAGGCCACCTGAGGCCTCTGCCCATCACTTTGGAAGCATGGGGGGAGGAAGAAGGGAGCTGGGTAGCCTCTGAACCGCCTCTGAAGGAAGGGCTGCATTTTGGCAGGGGCCCAGGGGCCCAGGAAGGGTGTGAGCAAAAGCAAGGAGGTAGGTGGGGCACAGAGCCCCTGTGGCCAGAGCCCTGGGTACGGATGGCAAAGCAGGTAAAGAGATCAGACAGGCTGGGCCAGAAGGGCCTCAAGTGCCCACTTAAAAATACTAACATTGGGGCACCTGGCTGGCTCAGTCAGAGGAACATGTGACTCTTAATCTCAAACGGTGTGAGTTTGAGCCCCATATTGGGTATACAGATTACTTAAATACATAAACTTAAAAAAAAAAACAAAAGCCTAGAAAAAATACTAAGACCACTTTGGCACCAGCTCCCAGGGCATAAGATGCGGGCAAAACCCAGGGCGCAGGCAGGGCCGGGACAGGGGGTGGCTCCAAACTTACCCAGGCCCAGCTCTACCTCATCCGGCGAGAGCTCAAAGGTGGGTCTGGAGCCAGGGATGCTGCAGGAGGACAAGCTCACTCCCAGGGTCCCTACGGGAAGTGAGGTGTGGAAAGGGTGACTGTTTTGTTCTTGGTGTCAGGCTTTGGGGGCCCTGGCCACCGCAGCCTCTTCGCTGAGCCAGGATGCCACATTCATCACCTCAGTGGTGAAGGAGAAACCCAGCCTGGGGACCCTAGGCTACCAGTCCCTAGGAACTCCCCCATGGAGACCTTCCCTCAACCCCTGGGGAATCACCTGGAAAGTCCTATGCAGCCACAGGGAACCTGCGCCTAGTCAGTCCCAAGGTCAGCCTCAACCTCCCGCCTTCCCCTTCCAAATCCCTGGGCCAGCACTCACCCATGGCCTTGGCAACCGCGCTCACCCGATTTATGATTTCCTCCAGCCCCACACCTGCCTCAGCCAGGGCACCTGCCACCTGCACCCACAGATAAGGGGAAGGAGTCAGCGTACGGCTTGCGAGGAGGAAACAGGCTGGGCCTGAGTTTCTAGTTGGGAAGAAGGCATCTCGGTACTGCCACATCAGCCTGGCCCACCATATTTAGGGCACAACAGCGCACCCTCTGTGTTCAAAGGCACTTGCCTGGAATCTTCAAGAACCCCAATCTGTGGAAGCCAGAAGGGACTTTACAAATGGAGAAATGGGCCCAAAGAAGGGAAGTGACTGGTCCAATGTCACATAGCTAGTTGGGGGCCAGTTTCCTGATTACTAGCCCAGAGCTGGTTCTCCATGGCATATACACTGAGGCTGTCCTTCCCTACTCACACACCCACCCACCCACTGTTTGCCAAGCATTTAGCGTGTGCTAAAAAGAAAAAAGGTGACTGAGTGACAGTCCCTACCCTGGAGGAACTCTGAATCTGGGGTGGCGCTGGGGAAACAGACACACACAAACTGAACACTAAATGTGAGGTGGTCCATCACAATAGCATGCCATGGGAGCACCGAGGAGGGAAGCCGAGGGACATCGGCGGTGGGCCCTTACAGAATCGTAGGAGTTAGCCAGGCCCAAGCGGGGCTGGACAAGAAAAGGATTTTCATAGCCTTAGATGAAGCATCAGCAAAGCCCCAGAAGGAAGCCGCAGCCTAGGCATGCAGTGAACCGGTGTTAATGGAGCCTAAGAGACAGGACGGGAAATGAACTTAGAGAGTTGGGAAGGAGGGGCAAGAGTGTGGTGGGCGCCTGACCAAGGAGCCTAGACTGACTCTTGGAACCCTAGAAAGCTTTCAGCAGGTGAACAACCTGGTCAGATATGCATTTTTGAAAGGTACCCCTGGGGCAGCGTGGGGAACATCCTGGAGGGGGAAGCAGGAAGCAGGCAGGGAGTCCCGTGAGGAGCAGGGGCAGCTGGGTGGGCATGAGCACATGGGCACGGAACCGAGGCTGGGACAGGAAGGGCAGGGCTCTGAGAGGCACCCGTATTGTAGGGGCAATTCAGGGGTCAGATCACGAGGGCAGGGCAACTGGCTGGGTGTGGGGGGAAGTAGAGGGAAGGGTCTGGGAAAACGCTTAGATTCTGGGCTTAGGGAGTTGAGGGGATGGTGGGCCTTCCTGGATCAGGGAGCCCTGGGGAAGGAGTGGCTTCCTGAGGCGGGGGGCATGGGCTGGCTAGAAAGGTCCAGGTCCCTGGTGCTGCCTGGAAAGAGAAGGCTGGGGGTGGGGGGTGCCCGCCAGCCAGTGTCCCGCATGGGAAATCTCACCTTGTGTATGAGCACTGTGCCACAGAGTCCCCGCCTGCCCACCTTCTTCAGGACGGTGAAAGCACTGTCATCCCCAATGACCACCATCTCCACAGGGATGCCCTCAGCCCGGGCCTGCTCCCGGGCCAGGCCAAAGTTGAGGCGATCCCCAGTGTAGTTCTTCACGATGAGGAGGGTCCCCACTGCAGGAACAGCCAGCAGGGCCCCATCAGTGCTTGTCCTCCCCACAGCAGCCCCTCCCGCCTGCCAGGATTACCTGTGCCCGCCTGGGCCACTGCCCTGATGGCTGCCAGGATGCTGCCCACCGCCGGGGAGGTGAACACGGCTCCTGCGATGACCCCCGTCAGCATCCCCTTCCCTATGAAACCTGGAGACGGAGCGGATACTGGCTGGGGACCCGTGTCTGCAGTCCCCGGGGCCTTCCCACGCTGATGGGCTTCATGGTTTGGTGAGCCCCACGGTAGGCTTGGTGCTGAAAGAGCACCTGGGTCGCCCTCCACAGACCTTTCCTCAGGAGCGGTCTCCGCGGAGAGGCCTTCCCTGACCTCCCAACGGAGGCACTCATCACCCCATCCCCAGCGACTCCCTGTTCCTTTTCCCCACTCTCTTGTCTTTCCTACTTCACTTAACGTGCTCTGGAACACTCTCTTTCACTTATGCGTTTGCCTGGTTACGGTCTCCCCAAAGGAGAACAGGAGCTCCGTGAGGGCAGGCACCTCGTCTTTCTGGTTCACCATTATATTCCTTGTGCCCCAAACGGTGCCAGATGACGACAGGTGCTCACGGAGGGCACTTAGTGGATGGATGGATTTGCCGAGGGAGACAGGAAAGGACGAGAGGATACAAAGCCTGGTCCCCCACCCCCCAGGAGTTCTCGAGGAGAGCTCACATGCCTGGCACTGAGCAGGAAACAACCCAGGGCTATCTGTGATGTATGTGAAAGTGCGGGGGCAGGAGTTCAGAAGAGAGATCCTACTCTAGGTGAGAAAAGTCAGGAAGGCTTCATGGAGGAGGGGAAGGGCTTGGGGGCCTGGAAAGCCAGGATTCACAAAATCACTGACTCTCAGAGAGCTGGATCATTTGGCCCAACCTTGTGTTTTTGAAAGATGGAGAGACTGAGGCCCAGAGAAAGACCATGACTGGCCCCAGATGACAGCCTGAGGGATTGAGACAGCAGGAACCAGGGCCTGACCTGGGCTCTGTCCTAAACCTCCTAGCAGCACCGAGGATCTCCCAGGAGCCCCCATCCACTGTGCCCAGCATCTGCCCCCCTACCTCTGTCCCAGACTACTCACCGGCATGGGCAGGCTCATGGCCAGAGCCCCCACCCGACAGCAGTGCCACCCGGCCCTTGAGGCTCTCCAGGTCGGAACGGAGAGCCACGCGGTGGCCGTGCAGGAGCTGCAGGCTGGGGTTGCAGGCCACCAGACCAGCCAAGGCTTCGTCGGCACAGCCTGCCACCGTGTTCACCAGCTTTTTGGAGGTCTGCAAGACAGGAGCCGGGAGGAAGTTCCAGGCGTGGCTGCCAGGGACACTCCCATACTGCCCAGCCACACCGCTATGGTTGAGACCCCTTAGCCATAAGGACTCCAGGGACACGGCAGTACCTTGAACTGGGCATGACTTTCTCAGGCGGAGGTTTCTGTGAGTTCTCTTAATTCGGGATTAATTGAGGGCAAAATTTATGAAGTGTTTTGGACTACGGTTTAAATTAATCCGCAAAAAGGGCTTCAATATAGACCAAAAAAGGGAACCAGAGTCCTGAGTCTAGAAGAATTTAATAAAATTAGGGCCCAACGGCCTTCTTCTGTCAAAGGAGAAGAAGCCCCAGGCTGAGGCTCCTGTGCCAAGAGAAGGTACCAGACAGGCCCCACACTCCTTGGCTATTCCAACTGGGCCTCTGGTGCCGGCCAAACATTTCCTGAGCCTCTCAGAGTGCCCAGTGCTGGTCCAGACAGAATGCTGGTCCTGCCCTTGATGGAAACAGAGGGATCATCTCCACATGCCGTGCGAAGTGCTACACAAGAGGAATGCGCTTGTACCGCCTCCTCAGTGGATCCTGGGAGTCTTCGTGAAGGAGAAGTAGGAGTTAGGGAAGTAAAGGGCGTGAGGGGCATGGGGGAAGGGACCAAGGACAAGTATATTCCAGGCAGAGGGAGAGTATACATCAGGGTCTGGGGGTGTGAAACCATTCGGTGGCTGGGCCAAGAAGCAAATTAGGATGACCTAAGCAACCAGTGACCACCAGGAAGAAGTGGGCAGGTCCTCACAAGCTGAAAGTGGAACCTGGCCATGGGGAACCTCTGGTGGGAAGGTCTCAGGCAGCTGGCCTGAGGGTAGAGCTGAGCTGACATGGGGTGCAGGCAGAAGTAGACAGCGTGGGGGGTAGAATGGCAAAGGTTTTGGGTTCTGCAGTCATGGTCACGAGCTCTTGGGCTCAAATCCCCTGTCTGCCTCTCACCAGCTGTGAGAACTCAGGGAGGACACCTTGTTGTTCTGACTTTTGTCCTACTCAGCAAATCGGGGACTTAATAAACTACAGTATAATATACCTGTTGTAGATTAAGAACTGAATAAAAGGCAGTTACTCCCTTTTTCAAACAGGTTCTGAAAACCTGGTGCTAGCTGAACGAGGTGTGCAGACTAGGCTGGAACTCCTGCCTCTAGTCATAGAGAGAGAGAGAGAGAGAGAGAGAGAGAGAGAGAGAGACTGGAGCCCAGTAAGGACCCAGAGGGCAGGCTCCTAGCGCCGCCTGGTGGCCCTGGGCAGCTGCAGCTGAGCCAGGTCCTGTCAAGGGGCCTTTCCCGGAGGCTCCTACCCCAAACCTGCAGGCACCTGGTTCCCTTGAGCAAATTCTGGCCTTTCCTGGGCCTGGCAGGAGCCAAAGCCAAGCCACCTGCTCTGGGCTAAGGAGAGCAGGCCAGGTCAGCAGGAAGCAAGCAGAATGAAAACTCTGTTATTACTGGCTCTGTTCCCAAGTAGTGACTGAGAGCCAGGCCCAGGGTCTAAGCGCTTTTTGAGCATGTTTCACTCAATATTCCCAATAACCCTACGGAGGAAAGATTAGCCTGGAGAGGAAACTGAGGCATAGTTTAATGACTTTGCCCAAGGTCACACAGCCAGCAAGTATCCAGGTTGGCCTGGCTCCAAAGATGGTTCCATTTTAGCCTTATCATGCTGCTTTCCCCAGGGGCTGAAGGGAGGCTGAGACTGCTAGAGGTCTTGCCCTAGTCAGGGCATGGGCTTGTGGCTCTCAGAGCCCTCCGGGGACTAGAATATGCAAAGAAATTGTGAGTTGGTCTCAACTTGAAGCCCAGCCTCCAGCGCCACCACCCTCCAAGAATGTATCCCCCCCACCACCATCCCTGACAGTCCTGCCTGGGATTCACAACCACTTCTGAACCAGAGTCATAGGAGGGCTCGGGGACCAATGCCAAACCTGGTTCCCAGTGGCCTAAGAGGATGAATATCCTAAGAAAGGAAGTTGATCAGGCACCGAGTGAGGCCCCCAGGATTCTGGTCTGATTAATACCTCACAGCCACTTGGAGGCTGGGCCTTAATCGGCCTCACACTGCAGATGAGAAGGCAAAAAAAAAAAGCTCAGAGAGATCAAGTCTCTTGTAAGAAGGTCTCTGGTTGGTGACAGGCTGAAATTTGAACCCAGGTCTGTCCAAGGCCTGCTTTGGTTCAGATCTAGTTCTAGAGTGGGCCTGGAACGATGCCGCCAGGGGCATGCTGAGCCTCCCACAGTGCAGATCCCACCTCTGGGACCAGCCCACACTTGTCCTAGGCTCAGGAACAGGCATCAGATCCCTCATGGCTCCTGGTACAGTGTCTATTACAGAGTAGATAACTAATAATTGTTCTAATCTAAATGTATGACCGAGACCAGGGCCAGATGGGCCCTGCAGGGACTCAGGGGCTGCAGCCCCGGCCCTGGGACCAGCTGGGAAATGGAGGGAAGCAGGGATTCGGCCCTGAGAGGGACGATGACGCTCTCTCTTAACTTCTCTGAACCTCAGGAGGCAGCAGCGTCTCTTCATCAAGGTGTAAGGAACTCCAGCACGCCTAGGGCTGGCACCCCACTGCTCCAAGACCACAGTGTCCTTCCTCTGCCCTGGCCCTCATGGGACTCACCATGGTGGGGATGCTCTGAAGCACACTGAGTTCACACCTTCGCACTGAGGCGCTGGAGGACGGGCAATCCTGTGGGTGCTACGGGGGTCTAAGCACAGTGAAGGTGGCTGCAGCACCTGCAGAAAGAGGGGAACAGTATGGGCTGCTGGGGGCACTGGCAGCCTACTGGCACAATCACGCTTCCAGGGCCCTGGTAATGAGAGAGCTGCCCCAGACCTTGATCCAAGTCCAAACTCTAGTATGTGCATTGGGGATGGAGAAGAGCATGGGGACTGACCAAGGTTCACACCTGCACCTGGCTGCCAGAAGACAGATCGATCCATACTGGGCTGCCTTTATGCCCAGGAACAGCACCCCACCTCATCACCAAGGGGCAGTTACCCACAGAGTAACTTCATCTCTTACGTGGGCACCATGTGCAGTGAATTAGTTTACGAAGATCTTCACACACTTGGTCTTGGCACTGCACCAGGAAGGAGGCAGCCTAGTCTCTGACCCCATTTTACTTCTGGGAACCGGACTCAAGAGAGCTCTAGTGCCTTGTCCAAGGTCATACTGGTAAGAGCCAGAACTCAAACCCACACCTAGTCTTTCTACAAAGTCTGTGTTCTTTCTAGCGGTCATTCAGTGCCCCCAAAGTCAGGCAGAGTCCTTGGTGTGGGAAACCACACAGGTAAACTACAATGACATTTCAGCTCCCTGCAGGTTCAGCCTTGTTCAGAGGTCTTTTGGGGCCATCCAGGGTCCTATGCTATGTGTCTGCAAGAGAAAAAATCCACACCAGGGTCCCCACCTAGCTCTGCCTCTGACTTACTTGGGGGATCTTAGGTAAACATTCCCTCAAACCTCAGCTTCCTCATCTGTAAAGCGGGGGTCGCCTTCTCTGTGGCATTCTGAAGGTACTCCAAGCCACGTGGTTTCCCCTTACTCCTTGCAAAGCCTCTGGTGTGGAGTGGCCCAGAAATGGCAGGGCTGACTGCTTTCCTGGGCCTTTAAGGGTCTCATCCAGGAAATTCTGATTTTGTGTTTGATGGTCAGAATTTGTACAGCAACAGGGGCACGAATGATGCTGAGTAAGTGGCCCAGTGGGCCCTTCAAAGTCTGAAAAATAAAACATAGTTTATAACGGGAGAGGCGAGCCTCCTGGTGTCCTTCGAGGTGAGGCGGGATGATCAATCATTCTAGGGTCAGGGGAGGGTACCGGCTGAGTTTGGATGAACTGGGGGTGCTAAGGAGAGGGAGGTTCGGACCTCGGTTCTAGTCTCGGAGGTGCACAAATTGCTGTCACCCCCCTCCCCCTCTAGACCTCTGCAGTACTTCCGGTTCCAAAAGGGAGAACAGCCCCGAGAGCTCCTGGAGCAATGGAAGAGGGAGAGGACAGGGTCTGTGGATGGGCGGAGGGTCGGCTCCGAGAGCGGAGGGGGTGTCCGCGCACCTCCCCCACCCGCTCACGTCCGCACCAGCCACCTCCGTAGCCGCTGCCGCTTCACAACGACCCCCGACGGCGCGCCCTCATCCGGGTACTCCAGGCTCTGGCGGTAAGAGGCGGGGCGGGGCCTCTAGGGGGCGGGGCCTCCTTTGGTTGGCCGCCTAGGGCGCCGTGAGTCCTCCAAGAGGCCAGGTGAGGCCGTCCCGTGATGCCTCGCGCCCCGGCCGCTCTGGCCTGCAACGTGTCTCTGGGGCGGAGGCAGCGGCAGTGGAGTTCGCCGCGCGCGGGTGGGGGCCCCTGTCTCTTCGCCTGTGTCCATTTCTCTATCGTTGCGCTCGAGTGCCGACGGGCCGTCCCAGACCTCGACATGTCGTACAACTACGTGGTAACGGCACAGAAGCCCACCGCCGTGAACGGCTGCGTGACCGGTGAGGCTGCCAGGGCAGGAGACCCCGCGAGGGAGGGAGCTGGGGGGAACCGAGGCCTAGGGAGGCCCGCGGCCCCTGGGGCTGCCGGGCGGGACCGAGTCCCGGGAATGGGAGTTGCTGGCGGCCGACGGAGCTTCCCCCAGCCCACGACTTTAAAAAGAAGCTGTCTTCAGCACGCGCCTTTTGGGGAGCAAAAGCTACGTTCGAGGGTCCCCTTTCGTCCTGGGAGGTCACTTGGCCTCGGGGACAGGGACGGCCCACTGGGACAGAGAGAGAAGTGTGAGTTGATTGTGCGGTGGTGCTTGGGCCCCCAGATTGGGCTCGTGTGGTTAGGGGAAGGGGCCGTGGTGATGGCGACTTGGAGGGTCAGAATTTTCTTGGGGGAGAGCCTGGGAGGTGCAGGAGGTGGAGGGATGTGAGGAATGTATGCACTCACCCAAAGGAGAGATCTCTTTGCCCTGGGCTGTTGTTTACTGGAGGGAGCTGCTGGAGAAGAGGGTTTGGGTGGCCCAGCCCAGTGCTGGGTTTGCCTTGTTGACTGCAAGGATTACAAAGGACGCAGATGTCCAGAACCCGGGAATAATCATCTTGATCCACGTTCTCAGCAGAACATGAAGCCCTCAAATTTGTATGTTTATGTAAATACTGATCATGATTTCAAAACAAAACCCTGTTGTTTGTAGAGTGGGAAGCTCTGACGGAGTGTGGACCAGGGTATTGGTAGACTGCGGGGAAGGCGAGAGATGTGGACAAAGCAGTGTTTTCATATAAAGCTCTGAGAATTTGCATTTGTTCTGCTCTGTTTGGTCAAGATTTTGTGAAAATTTAGATAAGGACTGAATGGAGATGTACACTGTTTCCAGCATCCCTTAATTAGATAAGTCTGCCACTGCAGTAGGAAAAGTCAAATTTGAGGGCACAGAGCCATCTGAAAGGTTTTCACAGTCATTGTCAGTTGAAGGACATGCTGCTCTTAAGTAGGCCCAGTCCACTTTTCTTAGTCTGATTAGGGAAGTAGCTTTCTTGAATGTATGAAGTGAGACTCTTTGAGGTGCTGGATTTGGCGAGACGGAAGTGAATGGAGGGAGCCAGAGAAATATGTGAGGTAAATGAGAATTCTGGAGGCATTTAAGTAGAAGTGATAGGATTATTTAGGTACTACTCTGGCTTCAAAAGTTAGAGGATCTGTTCCTTTCAGGACACTTTACTTCAGCTGAAGACTTGAACCTGTTGATTGCCAAAAACACGAGATTAGAGATCTATGTGGTCACTGCTGAGGGGCTTCGGCCCGTCAAAGAGGTGGGCATGTATGGGAAGATTGCAGTCATGGAGCTTTTCAGGCCCAAGGTAAGTGCTCTGGGTTGGGCCCAGCAACGAGAACTTAGATGGTTTTACATTGTTGTACACTTTTGCTTGGGGTGGGTGGAATGAGGTTTAGGAGAGAGAATTTTCTCTTTCTTTTGAATGGCGGGTTTCAATTTATATATATATATATTTTTAAGATTTTATTTATTTATTTGTCAGAGATAGAGAGGGAATGCACAAGCAGAGGGAGAAGCAGGCTCCCCGCTGAGCAGGGAGCCCAATGTGGGGCTCCATCCCAGGACCCTGGGATCATGACCTGAGTTGAAGGCAGACACTTAACCGACTAAGCCACTGAGGCTTCCCTCTATAGTCTCGAACAAGCTTCCTAGAGGTAGAAGAGAGTCACTAGGAAAAAACTGATCAAGTTGACTTCTTTAGAAGGGGAAATTAAAGCAGTTTGAAATGTGGGTCTGATCACCATACTAATTCAGAGTAGGCTCTAGGTTAGGGCAGTCCTGGCTTTATTCCTTCTTAATTTTAACTTTGGGTATCACCTAACTTTTCAGAGCCTTATTTGCCTGTCTGCAAAATGGGGATCGTAGTATAAAATCCTTGGGTTATTATGAAGCTGAAATGCTTAATAACATAGGAGCTATTACATAGCAAACATCTGGTGTTGTGTTAACAGTTATCATAGTGTTATCATTGTTGTAACTCAGATGTTTTCACCCATATTGTTTCATTATATTTTAATTGAATCTGACAAGAATGCAGTGGATTCAAAATTTTAATTGTAACCCTTTGAACAAAATATTCACTCTTTGGGGGACTCTGTTAATAAGTAGGTAAGACTTTGTAGATCCATTTTAGCTTCCATTGTTAGTCATGTTTTTTTCTCTCTTCAGATAGTTGGGAGAGGATTAGAGGAGGCATTACATTCATGTTTCAGAATTTGAATGGAATGAGTGAGATTAGCTTGAGATGGAAATAGACAAGACACTATTGTAGGTGGGGCAAAGACATGTACAGTCATCAAAGTGCAGACTACATGTTTACCAGCTTCAGTTCTGGCCTTTTGCACACACCCTTAGGGTGTATGCATCTGATGTGTGTTACCTACTCACTATGGATTTTTCTCTTCAGGGAGAAAAGAAAGTTCTTGAAGAATTTAGCATCCTTAAAGAAAAATGCTTAGAGGCTAGATAGGTATTCTTGTTTCAAAAAGAACTTCTTTCGATGGTATTATGTTGGTTTCCAGGGCGAGAGCAAGGACCTACTGTTTATCCTGACAGCTAAATACAATGCCTGCATCTTGGAGTATAAGCAGAGTGGCGAGAGCATTGATATCATAACGCGAGCCCATGGCAATGTCCAGGTGAGGTGGCTGCTTCAGGCTGATGAGAGTTTTTTGGATAGAGCTGTCATGACTCGATAAAGAAAATTGAACCGCTGGGGGCTCTCTCTGTGATCAGAGCAACAGGGAGAAAACACTAAGGGTTTAAGCTTTTATGAAGAAAGGAAGAGTCCAAGGGACAGGGTACTAATTCATTGAGAATCAGCGTTTTACAAGAAGATATGCACTGTATTTGGGCTCCCTGGCATGTCACTTGGATGCCACTAGCTTTATTACCACCCCTAAAATCATTCTTGGGGAAGAGGTGCCCGATGTCCTCTGTTACTCTGAGTGTTGAGATACTTCCCTAACCCCAGTTTTACTTCCCAGGACCGTATTGGCCGCCCCTCGGAGACGGGCATTATTGGCATCATCGACCCTGAATGCCGGATGATTGGCTTGCGACTCTATGATGGCCTTTTCAAGGTTATTCCGCTAGATCGGGACAATAAAGAGCTCAAGGCCTTTAACATCCGCCTCGAGGAGCTGCATGTCATCGACGTCAAGTTCCTGTATGGTTGCCAAGCACCTACCATCTGCTTTGTCTACCAGGTACTGGTAGAGAGAGAGGAGTGGAGAGGGAAAAGCTATGTGGTTTCACATTGTGGGAGTTGATTTTCACTAATTGGACTGTCTGGATTTGGTAGTAGGGTAGGCAGAGAGTTTAACGTATTTGTCCTGAAATGCTTTGAACGGTATAATTAATATGGGTCAGATTTCGGATGCGTCTCCAGTGCAGTAGTATTTAATGAGGCAGGAAGCTCTCTGGCGCTGGTAGCAGGTTTTAATCCTGAGATTACATTCTTGTGGACCTTGGAGATTTTATAGGGTGACCCAGTTTATACTTTGTCTGAGTCTCTTAACGGCATGCTGGGGGATTATTAAAACTTAGCTGTAGAGAAATGATCTAGAAATCGCCCTTATAAGCAAAGAAAAAAACATCTTGGTGACGTTTACTTATGTCTTCTAAGAAGGGGTTTGCATTTTGTCCAGCACTCACTTTCTGGTGACTTGTTGGCTGTTGACTTCTATTTTAGTCTGTGCCTAAAACTTCAGCAGAGCTGATCCAGGGCAGCTGTTCTCTGAGCCAGATTTGTTAAGTGGGGGGCGGGGTGGCAGAGCATCAGACTAACTTGCTGTATCTTGGTAAAACCTCAGCCTTTTAACAAGAAGCCATACAGCATGCGGTCATTTCACTTGCATATGGTTGAATAAACGGTGGAAGGAAACGGAGTCCGAGTCCAAGTGCTGTGTGTGGGCACGTTTGATAGCCGTGTTAAGTATTGGGAACACTGATGTATTTTTGTATATTCCTTAGCGTCACCATAAGTGCTAGAGTTCAGAGGCTTGTTGGGATGAAGTTCAATTGAATAAGGTTGAAACTACTTCAGGGGATTTTGTTTGATCTTGTTCACTGTGCTTTACGGATCATAGCTGAAATAAAAACTTAGAATTTCTTTCCCTTCTTTAGTTTTGTAAATACCAGGTCATTAAAACACTGATGTTGGTTATTCAAGGCTGACTCTGTTCCTAGCCTCAGGGCTGCCCATTGTGACCCATCTTCATTCCTGTGCCTGCGTGTGCGCGCGCGTGTGTGTATGTCTCTCTCTCTTTCTCTCTCTCTCTCTCTCAGGGGCCCAAATCAAACCCCCAGCTTGAACTTTTTGTGAAGTTCAGTCTTACCCCTGGTCATTGATGGAAAGATCTTTCATCAACTAAAAATGACTGTCTTCTGTTTTGTGCCCCAAATTCAAATATTGGTGTAAATATTTAGGGAGTTACTGTGTAAACTGTGTAGTCATTATAAGTGTGTCAGGAGCTATTAACAGTGATTAAGATATGGCCCCTGCCCCGAAACACAGTGTTGAATTCTTTCCATAACTTCTTAGGCTTTCATCTGGCTGTTGTTGAGGCCGTTTCCCTCTGGCTGATTGCACCCTCCCTGTCCCTGCTCTTTTAGACTCTCAGAGGTGACTTTGACAGCCTTAGGCCTGGTTTGAGTCATGATTCAGAACAAGGTGGGGAAGAT